TCTCTAAATAACACAATGTCCATTGAATGCGATATCGTTCATACGTTGTGTCGATCCTATACCGGTGTCAACTCTATGCAATGTATACTGTATGCCTGTGGCAAATCTATGGTGTCAAATTCATATCAAACCTCATACTCAATTTTATATCAATAGGTAGGTAGACACTCGATAGGTGACGCTCGGTCTCGAATTTGATGCTTTAACTCGAAAGGTGACTCTTAATTACCACTCGATTTGACGTGATAATTCGTGGTGTAACGATGTTTTTTTAGGTTTGTTTCGGACAATGTTACTTCATGAATGTACTAAAAATAATAAAAATATATGCGTATATATAATGTTATATAATCAACATAAATTCATGCTTAATAATTACAAATGAACGCCATATTTGTGAAACAACTAGAGAAAAAGTTCATTCTGTGTTATACGGTAGGTAACTGTGTGTATAAGTCACTTAACTGAACATATCAATCAATATTTTAACAATAACATACTAAGTATTGTGAGCAGTCATAGTGAAACATAAAAACAAAATATGTAAACAAATCAATAATTGCGTCGTGAAAATATTGTTAACCCGTTCTATGTTTAAGGTGCAGTGTAAAAGATAAGTACAATAAATACAAACAGGAGTATAAAATCAACTTACGTTTATTTAAGGTAGGAATATATTATGATTACAAAATATAAAAAGAGAGTCATGACATTCACTATTGTGTTACAATTAAAACGTTAAATTAAATTAAAATTAAAATTATTAAGTTATTTATTAAAAGCTTTAAGTTATTTATGCAAATTTGTCTGGCGAACGCCAAGTACTTAAGTTGTGTGGCTTTTTGCCAAGCGAGAGAGAGGAAGGAGTTTTAGTCGAAGCAAGGCCGCTTGCCACTATCAGTTTTACGAGTTTCAGATTGCTGGTTGCCTTCCAGGCCAGAGGTTTAATCCTCGTGATAATTTTTAAACGTATTGTAGTGTTAACAGTTCTCTGTACTACATACGGCTTCCTGTTAATATAAGGCCAATCTTCCACATTTATTATTCCAAAGTTAAGTTAGAGTTTAGTTAAATATTTTTATATTCTTACGTTCAGACCACAAGAAGTTGGTCTCTGTATTCCGAAGTACGGAAATTATTGTAAAGAGTGAAAAATAAAGGGTTTTGTATACCCTTCTTGTGTATCCTGTCTACTTCCCACATTTATTGAACATAGCTTTAGTAAGCTCCCTGTTCCGAGTCAGGTCCTTGCATGTCCCCAAAGAAAGTAAGGCGGAACATTGAACCTGATAGTGGCGCCCAACGAAGAAGAATAACCATGACCGAGTTTCAAGAAGAACCTGTTCTGCCTGCAGAAGCGGCTCAGAATCCAGAAATGCCAGCTGCCGCCCTGGAAGGATTTGGTTACAGCGTCCAGACCATGCGCGCTTCGATGAAACCAGAAGCAACATTTAATGGAAACTCACCGGTAACCAGTTTTTTGGAAAAATTGGATGACCACTTCATGCTCTACCCCGTGCACGAGTTTTAAAAAGTTACCTTAGCTACCAGCGCTTTGAGGGGCCAAGCGCTTAACTGGTTCAAATGTATAGGCAGAAGTCTCTTGGGTCAAGCAGGAAGTCCCACCTATACTTACGAAAATTTCAAGACTGCCCATAGTAAAAAGCCTTCCCTGTCGTAAGGGATAGTGCGAAATTAGAAACGGAACTTTTCAGCATATATCAGCAAAGAATCGAAATCTCTCAAGCTTTATTTTAAGAAAAATTCACGTCTTCAAACTCTTGTATGGAAACCGTCCGGATCCTGAGATAATTCAAGTGATTTTGCCGAGGTACTTCCCCAAGTGCAAGACGTTATATTGAATTAAGAAATCCGACTACACTGGAAAAGTTATTTGAGCTAGCAATCCATTTTGAAAGTAGAAGAAGGCGGACATTGAAAGAAGACGCCAATATCAACAACGAAACCAATTTGGTGCGCCAAGACCACAGCAAAGTCAAGCACACGGCTACGGAAGCAAAGCGAATCAGGGGCAAGGAAACCGAGCATTCAAAAACAGCCGGCGAACGTCGACAGTTCAATAGCAATCCAGGAAAAAAGTCTCAAGGCCAGTGGAAAAAAAGGAAAGCATGGAAATGAAAAATGATTTAAAATAAAACGGATTTCTGCTGAGAGGGTGCGGAAATCAGGTATGGTTATTCCTCAGGAAATATGGACATTTGCATTACATCGCCTGAAACAGATGGCCTTAGAATAAATATTGGTAATGTGCTGCTTTGGCATTTTCACCTGTGGATACAGCATAACTAATGAGACTTAATTGTTATACATGACAGATTACTAGGTACCTATCTAATTTTCTTCCACCAAAGCTATTCTTAATGATGCCAATCCTTCAACTGATATTTTAGTTTGGGCTCATAGGTCCATGCCTAGTCTCATCAGAGGCAACAAAGTGAAAAATTGTATCCCCCATTGCAGTATCTGATCAGACAGAGATTATGTACCTCCTATTTCTGCCTTTATGTACTTCTGTGGGTTTATGTGCAACCCAGCAAGCTGCAATTTGATTCATGTAAAATTTATTCTATAGGATGTATTGCACTGCTAGATGACTCAACCTAACTTATACGGCTAATTCTTGAGCAGTTTGCTGATAATTAATAGGAAGACAAATTTGCACTAACTCTTCATTAGAAATGGATAAACGACCCATACAAACTAAATTCCAGTCTGAACAAAATTTTGACCCTTCTTGAAATTGATACAGTACCACACCACAGACAGCTTCAAAAAAGTCTAATGCATGACTTTGTCTTTACATAGTCATGCATTTTTGCAATAGACATGGATTTTTATTCATGATGGTTGTTCAATTTCGTAAACATGCTTCAGGGAAGTACATGTTATGCTCTTCATTTTACATCACACAACTATCATGTAAGTGTTTTTGGCTCTTCAAATATCAACACTGCCTCCAATCAACACCCATCCATTCCCTGCTAGCATATGCTCTGGTATCAACAATGTTGCAAGTGCTTTATTTACAACCCATGTTATCATTAACATACTGAAATTCTTTGGAAATGTATTGCAGAAATAACCTGCCTTATATTATGTTGAAATTTTAGTTGCCATTTTAACACAATACTTTCCTGGTGAAACAAGGACACATTCCAGTTTTCACAAATGCCTATAGTACTGGTACCAGTATGTTATGCAAATATATATACTTTAACTCTTTAAATAATGCAGATGAGCTTATATGAATCAAATTTAATTTCCAAAGCATCTTACAGATAAATTTCAATAACTCAGAATTAATACAGCCAAAGCAATACATGATATTCTTCAGTTTGTCCTGTGAATCATTCCTGAATAATCAACGTAGTGTGCACACAATATTTCTCAATTCAGAAGAGGCTATGTAGTGATGAGAATATCATTATCATGAAAGAACACACATGGTCTGCAGTAATGTGTAGAGAAGAGTCACAGTTATCTACAAATAGATATGGGGGCCTAGCAGAAAACAGTAAAGCTATTCCATTTGTTTGTTTTGTTCCATTGGTGCATAAACGATTCTTATATATTCTTAGCCATATACTTGAAACATCAAATGATTTCCATTGTCTTCAGTACTGAAGGTCTAATTTTGAGGCTAATGGAAGTCTTCAGCAATATTTGATATATTCTTTGTGACATTTTATCTACATTAATAGACATAAAGCTATCATTGAACTGTGCCAGCCTTTCTGTTAACTACATACACAGGACTTCCCTTATCCTGAATATTGATCAGCAGTGGCTAACCCAAGAAACAGACTACATCAAAAAAAGCTGGCAAGATATACAGTGCAGCAAATTAAATATTTGAGCAATACAAATTTATGCAATAATTTTACTGTAAATGGTGTAAATAACTATGACATAATCTTGTCACAATGCTGAAAAATGAAATTAGGCACATTACCAAGGAAAATAAATCATTTAAACAACAATGAAAAAGGTTGAAATTTAACTTAAATAATGTAAGTGAAAGAAAAAGAAATTAAATTTGTTTTAAAATGTTCTAATAGTCTCATCAGTTCCCCTTTTTTTTATTATATTATTTTGAAATGTGGGAAAAGCAGATTTGGTTTGTTTTGTGTGATTATGGCAAAGCCTCGATGGCTATCTGCCTAGGAGAAGGGATGCTTTTGTGGAGGACTTTTTAAGGGAAACTGGCTCGTACACACGTTATACATGGGGAAAACCATGGAAACACCCATGCAGCCAGCCAGTTCGCAGGATTCAAACCTCTCTGGAAAGCAGATAGAGTTGACTTTAGTAATGCGTAATAGAATTATAAATTTAAGAAATAATGGCTCTACTTATCAAGAAATAGCAAAAATTTTAAGCTTGAATTCATCAACTGCTTGTTATAGGATAAGTAAACACAAATCAACTTGGGAGTATCAGTGATGGAGAGAAGAGAGGGTGGCCAAAAGTTCTTACAGTAAATAGCGAAAGCAGAATGACTGAAAGGTCAATGAAAAAAAAATAGTTTGGTTTTATGTGATTATAGCATTGTCTCGAGGGCTATCTGCCTAAGAGGAAGGATGCCTTCATGGAGGACTTTCTAAGGCAAATTGGCTCGTAACACGTTACACATGGGGAAAACCTCGAAAACGCCCATGCAGCCAGTCCATTCGCAGGATTCAAGCCTTGGACCGAATTACCAATGTTCAGTGCCTTTACCGCTCAGCCACCTTTTATTAGTAGTATGGAAATATCTAATGACCATCTTGTTCAGGTGTTTGTGTTACATCTTGAACAGTAAGAGATTACCTACATAAATTTGGATATAAAGCCAGAAATGTAAGGGAAAAAAACTGTATATAAGTGAAACTAATTATAAGAAAAGGTTCCATTTCACAAAAGAATATATAAATAAGCCTTAATTTTGAAAAAAAAGATTGTTTTCACTGATGAAAGTAAATCTTGCTTGTTTCGATCTGATGGCAATAAAACTGCTTTGAGAAAAAATAAAACGGCTCTAAATCATAAAAATGCTATGTCCAACTGTAATACATGGTGGTAGAAATGTTATGGTATGTAATATAGCTAAAATGGAACTGGTAATTCGACTATAATTGAGGGAATTTTAAATGCCAGAAAATGTGCAGAAATATTGTGAGATTTAAAATCACGTCAAAGTTGTATTAAAGATGACAACACAACAATTCCTCTTACATAAAGTTCCCCAAAGCTTGAACACTCTGCTGCAGTCACTTGATCTCAATCCAATTGAGAATTTGTGGTATTTTTTGATCAAGAAGCTAGAAAATATAAATTTTCAAATAAAAATGAACACAAAAATATTATCTTAAAAAAAATGGGAAAATGTATTGCCAGAACATCAGCCAAAACATTAGTAGGATCATTCCAAGAAGACTACAGGCTGTTATAGATGAAATATTAAATATCATTTTACAAATATTATAAATTTTATTTTTAGTACTGGTTTCATTGAATTTTAAGTTTATTTAGTTCAAATACTTTTTTCCCTTCAGTAATTGCATATCTTGACATTTGTATGTTATGGGTGACAAACACTATTTTTTACTAGCCTAAAGGTGCAATTTGTCCAGAAGGGCCATTAATTTTGTTTTGGCATTTAACGTCGGTTCACTATAAATGTTAGTTCCCTTTTGAAATTGTTGCCACCAAATATCAGAGCCCTGCATTATATTTAAAGAAATAAAGAAATGAAGAATCTGCATGAATGTATGTTATGTTTCTTGCACTATGGAAGCAATGGTAACTAGAGGCATCAAATTTTGAATAACGTAGTCCTCCATTTGAATATGGGCATCTGGAAGCCCGAATTTGGAATTTGTTTTCTATTTCATATTTTGTAAAGCATTCATGTATTTTTGATAAAGAAACTCAACAATTTCAAAGCAAGCAATGGCGACACTGTACGGAAAAAATACATCTTTATCTCCAGCACACGAGACTGTATCGAAAATTCTAAAGAAGATATGCTCTTTTAAAATTATTTTGTGATACTGCAGTTGAATTGACTTTTATGGTTTAAGTGCGAAGAATATGATATTTGATAAATAAAGGTAGCACACAAAATACTAAAAAAAGTCCCTTTGGGCATAATACAAAATCCAAAAACTTTCAAAATTTTTTTATTAAGTTATGTGAGGAATTTAATTTCACTTAAACCATTAGCAATAAAATTATTGCATAAATTTGTACTGTTCAAATACTTTTTTCCTCTATTGTATGCAATCTCTCTTCCAATATTAAAGGATATTACAGATGAGGGCTTCAAAAACCTTTTAAAGACTGGCACATTGCTGCAACCACACTTCCAAAGCTTCCGTTGTCGCAACTAGACTGTAAAACAATGTCAAACTTATGACCTAAGCATCTAAAAAGATATGTGGCACTGATGCAAGAGAAAAGATGTGTGGCACTGATGCAAGAGAAAAGATGTGTGGCACTGATGCAAGAGATGGTTTGATTAGGAAGACCCTCCTAAAAAGATGTATTATACCAAAAAACAATTTTTTTTAAAAAACTTAATAGAGTATACTCTTTTGAATAACAAAATTAAAAATGATAAATATATTCACTGTTTGGATACACACAATGAAGAAGTAAAATTCTCAGAAATTGCAAAATATTGCAAACCTTTACGAAAAATTTCAAAATTCTGAGTGTAAGATTTAAAGATGCATTTTCACATGATTTTTTTTATAACTAATTTATTATACAGTTAGAAGCTTCATGTTCCTATAAAATTTTATCAGTGGGTTTTATTAATGATGTAGATGGCAACTGAAGGCCTTACAGCAAGGATGTAGCTTCACATTTTTGGAAAATTAAAAAAAAAAAAAAAAAAAAAAAAAAAAAAAAAATTCTAAAATTTATTTCTTAAATTATGTTCTAAACATTTGTCCTCATTAAAAGTGCTAGTAAAAATGATTTCTTATGGCTTTTTATTCCAATGCAAAGAACGATTTTTTTTAGCAAAAAAGACCCATGAATACAAAATCTACCAAAGTGGAGCTGGGCCCTTCTTGCTGCAAGCCCTTCAATTCATAGGTAGAAAAGTGAGAAAAATTTTATAAGTACGGTGTACATAGCCTTAGACATGCTACATGAATTACACTAATGGCATAAAATAACTAATCTTCATCAAAAGTCAGTGTTATGTTTCAAAAACCAATGTTATTTTTCAAAATAACAATAGAATCACTGGAAGTATAATATATGAACATAAGACAACTTATTAACAATAGAAAGCATCAAGATGCTATTTAGAATAAGATTCTGATTTTACTTAAGTCCCCACCTATTTTGCTAGGATACAATTTTCTTTGCACAATTCCTCATTTCTTCATAAGATTGATAATACTAATTAACAAAAAATCATTAATACCTGAAAGAAGTGGCCTCAGTAATCACAGAAGACATTTATACCACTTCATATATGAATGAATTATGATGTACTATTATTATCTAAAATTGAATTCATTTGTGTGATGTAAAGATTTAAAAAAAAGGTGAATCAGAGGCCGATGATAATTAAGTAGAGGCTTTATTAAAAGATGGAATTTCACGCACATGGCACAGCACGTTTCTACATATCACACCATGAACAACTACAACTGTTGCCAGATCAACCTAAGCAAAAGTATAAAACAGTTACGGTTAAAATACAGGACTTTAAAACAAGAACGGGGAGTGCGTGTGATTATTCTCAACACCCTCCCTTAATCACATATTATTTTACATTTATCTCTTAAATAACACAATCTTGGTTTAGGCAAGCATTTTGTAAACAAATCAGCTAACTTGATTTTCACCAAACTAGAAACATTGTATACAAGATTTATATCATACAATTTTACTACATCCCTATTCCCTAATATACTTTAATTTCCAAATGTTTTAGTTTAAGTTCCAAATGTTTTAGTTTTAGTCTTAGCACAATTACTTTCATTTAATATTGCTTTAATTACAGACTGATTATCCTCATAAACTGAAACTTTAATGTTGTCGACTCCTAAAATTTCTTTAGATACATTATAAAATACAGTTAGGTCTGAATAGCTTTTGCTAAAGCCAAAATTTCTGCCTCAGTAGAGGACAGAGCAATAGATGTTTGCTTTTTAACAGACCAAGTTACAGGACAATCCATTAAAGAAAATAATATACCCAGAAATAGATTTTCTATATCATTTGTATCTGATCCCCCAACCAGCATCAACATAAACATTTAACATAATAATCAACACTATTAGATTTACAAAATAATAATCTGAGTTCAGATGTCCCTTTTAAATATTCGAAGAATTTGCTTCAGACCAGCCCAAGCATTTTTAGTGGGTTGTTCTTGTATCTGACCCAGACAGTTCACAGAAAAACAGAATATCAGGACGAGTTGTCATAGACAGATACAGCAAAGCACCTACACGTTCACGATAAGGGCCATGAAATCTTTCACCATTCACAAATTTGATGAAGTTGACTTAGGCACTAGAGGAGTATCAGATGGCTTACAATCTAACATTCTAAATCTATTTAACAATTTTTCAACATAAGATTTTTGGCCTAAAGTAAGTTTGTTCTGTGAATATTCAAAACTTATTCCAAGAAATTCATTTGCAACTTCAGCCTTAGACATCTCATATTCATTTCTAAGTAATTCAATCACAATTTTTACCTCTGAATCATTAGAACCAGCAATTAACAAGTCATCCACATACAGCACAATAAATATTTCACTCTGTTTAGTTCTTCTTACAAAAGTACATGCTTCGCACATTAGTGTTGAAGACTTGTTGAAAGATTACAGACTTGTTGAACAGTTTAACTTAATTAAAAATCAGTAAATCTCTTGAACCACTGCCTCGGTGCTTGCTTAAGTCTTATAAAGACTCTTAAGAAGCTTGCACACACAACCACTGTTGTCACTGTAGCCCATTGGTTGTTCCATGTAGATTGTTTCTTGGAGATCACCATTCAGAAATGCAGTCTTTACATCTAATGCATAGATTTCAAGATTCTTTTGAATAAATGATAGCCAGCACAAGTCGAAGTGATGATGTACTAATTTACAGGAGCATAGGTCTCAAAGTAATCAATGCCTGGCTTCTGTTCAAAGCCACGAGCAAGCCAGTCTAGCTTTGTAAACATTGTTTCGTTTTGATGCGCAACACCCATTTACAGGATATTGGCTTTTCATCCTTTGGCAAGTTGACTAACTCCCAACACTTTATTTTTATTAAGGGAAGAAGCTATTTCCTCATCCATGGCTTTCCTCCATAGGACTTGCTCTTCTGTTTGGCAATGATTGTTATATCTTTATATGTTACTGTATCAACTGTTGCCACATTAGCTTCATACACAAAGTAATCATTCAACTTTACAGGTAATTTTATATTTCTTCTTTTGCCTAGTAATTTCTTCATGACTTTCTTCAAGATTTCTGGATTCTACATCACTTGAATCACATATTACTTCATCTTTAGCAGGATCTTTACTTTCTATGGGAAAAATCATCTTGAACTGAGATACATTTCTTTTTCTCTTCAATGAACAATACATTTCGAGAAACCACAACATGATTTGTGACTGGGTCCAGTAAACGATAAACCCATGGTAGAGTATCCAATAAAAATCACGTCTTTTTTTTTATTTTGGATGCAATTTCTTTCCTAAATTATCAGGAACTCTCATGTATGCATCAGATCCAAACACCTTAATAATATTCAAATCAGGCGGGCTTCCCATATTTGAGCTTATAAGGTACATTTTCAACAGTCTGATTTGGAATTCTATTCTTAAGATATGCAGCTGTGTGTACAGCATAGCCCCAAAAGGATTTAGAAAGCTTTGCTTCACATATGAGAGCACGGGCCTTCTCTAAAAGATATCTGTTGGCTCTCTCAGCCACACCATTTAAAGGAGGTGAATATGGAAGAGCAGGATCTATCATAACACCATTTTTCTTGCAATAACGAGCTAGTTCACCAGACACGTATTCCTTGGCATTATCACACCGAATTTTGTAGACATCAGGATTCTGCTTTAGGAACAATTTAAACACTTCATTTATGTCACTCTTGTGCTTTAAGAGATGCACTTCAGTAAAATCTAGAAAAATCATCTATGATTGTAGCAAAATACTTTTCACCTTCCCTAGTGGGTGGATCAATGGGACCACATATGTCAGTGTGTACCATTCTCATCGGCACATGCTCTCTGCTTCTAGGACCTTTGTTCATAGGAGTGTTGGAATGTTTCGCTAATATGCACACTCTTCACAAAAACTTGAAGGTGACTCAGATACTGGCAAAATCCATTTCCTTTTAATATTTTATCAGATGAGTGCCCCATGCGCCTGTGCCATAATTCTGCACTAGTATGATTTGCAATGCATGTTGAAGCTTTAACAGGATCAAATTGACTCACATACTGTCCTTTCTATCTGAGTTTAGCAAATTCAAATTTTTCATTCTTCTTATCAATAACAGCTACATCATTTAAAAATTACACTGTAACCTGCTTTTTAAATATTTTTCGCAAATATTAATTGACCTTTTAACTCAGGCACATATAACACATCTTTAAGTAATATTTCTTTTCCATTTAATGTTCCAGTTAGTGTACCAATACCTTCTACCACTAAAACATCATTTTTCGAATCACACGCAAGAGTTCCAGAAAAAGGTTTAATTTCTTCAAACCACTCACCTTTATTACACATGTGTGTAGATGCTCCAGAATCCAGAATGAAATTTCCAACAGGCTCGCCAAACCATGAATGTTACTGCAGCCGATTCTCTGTAATCCGATTTATGCTTAAATCTGCAATCCTTCTTGTAATGCCCTGGGCGTCCACATACCAAAACAAACTAATTTTCTCTTGGAAAGCCTGGTAATATGACCTTTACTTTTACATTTGTGGCAGATGATATCACGCTTATCAGCGCTAAAAGCTACGTTATTTCTTGAGCCAGAAACACGAGAATCGTAAGAATTTCTCTCAACCTTGCAATTCTTCAGCATTCAAGAGTCCTTTGCATAACAAAGTCCAGCGTAAGCATTTCATTTGGCTGCTGTTCTCAATCGTCGATTTAATAATGTCGTACTCAGCAGGTAGCGACATCAAACAAATAAATAATCCACATCCATATCTTTGACTTCAGCACTCCGACAAGTCACGCAGTTCATCTTACGATCGCCAACAGTCCGTTAATGTGACTGCATATTGTAATCTCAGCGTTTCTTCAGAGTCGATAATTTCTTTCGTACTAATATTTGACTAACTGCCCTCACCTTCAGTATTTATTTTTTAAACTCACTCAGGTATTTATTCTTTAAACTGCTCCAAATTTCACATGCAGAAGATTCACTCGACATGGTCGCCAATATGGCATCATCTAGAAGGGTTAGCAGCAATGCGTAAGCCTTTTTTGCATCTTTGATTTCAGCAACTTTCGTTTCATCCGCTTCAACGTCTAAATATTTATCAAGTTCTTTGCTGCAAACACAGCTTCTACACGGCGCTTAAACAGAGAAAAGTTTTTACCGTTAAACGGCTCAACACAATACTTTGTGTTCTCATAATGTGCTGCCATTTCAAATTTCACTTAACGCGCGATTCCGTTCCAAACAAATTAGTTCCACAAAACAAATATAAATGCTTCGCCTCTAGCGTGTTCAACATCAGAGCCACGCTCTGCTGTAAAGATTTTAAAAAAAAGGTGAATCAGAGGCCGATGATAATTAAGTAGAGGCTTTATTAAAAGATGGAATTTCACGCACATGGCACAGCACGTTTCTACATATCACACCATGAACAACTACAACTGTTGCCAGATCAACCTAAGCAAAAGTATAAAACAGTTAAAATACAGGACGTTAAAACAAGAGCGGGGAGTGCGTGTGATTATTCTCAACATGTGACAAGAAGACAGTTAAATTATTTTCACTTTTTAACACTATTTAATTTTAAGAAATAAAATGTAGTTTCTCTTTTTTCATGAAATTTTATATACTTTGAACAAAACCTGAAACATTTATATTACATGCACCCTTGCTTTAAATTAATTAAGCACAGCAAATGAGCCTGTGAGTATCAAGCTTAGATTACCGGCAGTTAAATACAAAACTGATGTTCATTCACCTTAATTATTATAACATTCACTAGCTTTAGACACGGTCCCTTAGACATAATTCTCATCATGTTGTAAAAGTGGTTGCTTTTACAATTAAGGAATTTCACAGTCATTAAATATGGTGAATGCAAGTTGCCCACATGAGGCAATTTAATCCATCATGATGCACTGGTGAGCATTTTCACTGTTGCTCACAGTGCCAAGTGCCTTATTTGCCGAGGAAAGCAACCGATAATAGTAATTTCTCCATCATTAATTGAATGTCACTTTAATATATTTAAAATACTTGTGAGGTATCAGGTTAATATTCTATGCTGACTGAAAGAAAAGAGTAAATATAAATTTTTATTTTTATTTCAAAATCAGCCATAAATAATTTTAAATATTATTTATAAAGAATTTTAACTAATTCTGAAGTAAACTGCAAAATGATAATTCAGTCTGAGATTAAAGAATTTATTTGTTCTAAAAAAAACTCAGTGGCGCGAACAGCCCTAATGGGCCAAGGCCTGCTGTGCCCCGAAATTTGCTTTCTTGATCCTGGGCCCCAGGGTGCATAAGCATATGCCCTGAACAACCGATCAGCTTGTTGCAGGACCCGCAGTGTTTAGTCCCCAAGCGAACTTGGTACTCATTTTATCGACCCAGGGGATGGAAATCAAGGGTGGGAAAGGCTGAGCCGACGTTGCCAGGGTTCGAACCCCGGACCTGTGGTGCTGCTGCGCAATGCCATTGCATCATTATTTTGTTCTAGGATGATATAATCATATAACAAACGAAATATTTCTGCTAAGGAAAAGCAAAAAAGATAAATCACAAGATCTAATATTATGATTTAAAGCTTATACATTATTAATTACACGTGATTACATCCATTTGTGAGTTGCAGATAGAGAAATCTGTACAATCTCTCAGCATAGAGTATTTTAATATTTCAGATTTTATAAATAATTTCATTTGTTATAAATTAACACATACAGACAAGCAAATTTACGCAACTTAGCAATTCCCTATTTTACATAATATAGAAAAATACACCTTTCATGCCTCCAGAAAACCCCCGCCAATTAGCAAACACAATCAAAGGCAATTCTTCTTTATTAAAATCATTTATAGCTTGAGCAGTTTTATATGCTGAATCAGGGAACCATACTTGGCCAGCTTGGGAAATAACCTAAGAATATAACACAAAAAGTTAAGAAATCAACAAAATATACCAAAATAATACAACAATACAAAAGGAAAATTAAATTCTTTAAAAGAAAAGTGATCATCATTTTCCAAAGTTCATTCACCTAGCCTCATACATAAAGATTTACCTGCATAACAAATAAAAATTTTTTAATATATAATTTATCATATACCATTTACTATGGATCAAGTGAATAAAATTAATGAATAATAATTCCAGCTTCTTTTTTTGAGTAAAACAATAACTTTCAATCCTTTCATATCTTTATCTCATCTGCAGTGTAAGGATGAGTTAGTTCCATTGATTTCTATCAACAAATATGGAATATTCCACTTCTTAGTCTACTTTAATATAACTTAGCACAAAATTTATAAATTATTAATAGATTAACTAATGAGTAAATGGCTTAAAATATTTTCCAGAACAATTCATAAAAGATATTGGGATGCACAGAAGTACTATTATGGTAAAAATAGACTGACAAACTAAATTGGCTCTTAACTTTTTTTCTATCTTAATAGCAAGGGGAAATTACCATAATAGTATTCCCATATTTTTTAAGACATACCATACAAGATCTCTTCCCAAAGAAGTTTTGGAAGAGAAGGAAAAAAAAAAAAAACCACAGAAAGGAATGTTATGAAACATATTATGATACCTGTTGTATATCGATAATGTTTCAACAGCAATAACTTTACGCCAATGAAATCCCACTAAAAAAGACATATCCTAATTAACAAGGTTAATCGTTGACTCAGTTACACTTATGAATTTTATCTTGAAATTTTAAGTCAATGGAAGAAAATTAAAAGTTTCTTGAACACATAAAAGAGTTTTAAACAGAGTGATCAAAAAGGTGATTGCAGGCTTTATTCTTTTTTAAACCTGAAATGTACTTCTACTAATGAATTTCCCCACAATGAGGTAGAGAAATTTATACGAAAATTCTAACATAGGGATCAGAATGTCTTCTGAATATAAAATGTTAATATTTTGTGCAGTCTTTGCACAGAAAATATGTTAAGTTGATCCACTATTCATTATGCTTTAATATGTTAAATATGAGAAGTCTGAACCTTTATATGCACTATTCAAAGCTACATGAATAGTAAATAATTTCTTGTGGTTAATAACAAATTTAATAATGATAGTTGTTTTACCCAACACAGAAACCACCATGAATTGCTGAAACAAGCACATTTTGTAATTTCTACTTCAATCTGGTAAAATACCTATTCCTAATTACTTATCAATACAGACTGAAAATGATCCAAGTCTGTACTTTCGATTTCGAGTATCTCCATGCATTTTGCACCTTTAAAGGCATGGAAATATTTGCATTTATTTTATCAATGATTAATAAATATTTTAGTTACTGGGCTTTCAAATATGCAGAGATCATAAAAAAGTTAAATTTTTGTACTTAACTTGTTACAATATAATTAGTAATTTACAAACTGGACCTGTAATCTGTGTCAGTAATTCTCAAACTGTGGTATGCGTATCCCATGGATACATAACAGACTTTCTGAGGATATGCAAAAACCTCTGAAAACTTTTGTTTGAAACTATTTTTTTTTTTTTTAACTTTGAAAGAAAATATAAGTATATAATGAATTTAATATTCAGGAAGAATTAAGTTAAACTTTGGTTTCAATGAAAGAAATAAAAGTACCTTATTGTAATTATGAAAACTTGTGTATGCAATCAGAAATAATGTTTTAACAGTGAATTGTACAGAAAGTTCCAAATAACATTTAAAATTTAATTATTTTGCTTTTACATAATTTAGCACTATAATCTGAAACCTCACATTTATTTAATCATAAATGTTATTATTTGTAAAATTTTTAGGAAGTCCTAATTTTATTTTTGGCCTTTTTTTTAAGTGAGTATTCATGGTGTGGACTTTTATCATGTAATCTTGAACATAGCCGACGGTTATTCATTGCTAACTCTGTTACAGCTGGTAAGCCATTTACCCAGTAAGAAATTTACATACTTAATTTTGCTGTACTTCCTGTGACATGTTGCACTTTTAGTGCTACAAATTATATCAAATTATGGGTATAATTTGTACATTAACATTTACAAAAGGATAAGCTTACATACATATACAGGTGTTAAATAGACAACAGATATATATTCGATAGTCCCTATATATAGTTTACAGATGTTACTGAATATATTAAACATATTAGTATATATTAATATTAGTTAATATATATTAACCATATAGTCTTAGAATATACAGAATTGTCAACATTTAACAATCAACATCATACATAAACATCTTTAACAGTTTACAGAATTAGTCTATAGTTCATCAACAATCAGTAATCAATAGTCAACAGAACATCAATAGTTCCATATTTCAGGAGTCAACAATTTGTCCGTCTATCAATAGTTCAGAGAACAGTCAATCAATCATACACTGTCTTATAACATCTCTTGTTCTCCTCTGAAGTAGAACTTTAGGAGAACTTGAGGCATCGAAATCTCCACTTAGAATGTTAAATGTACTAAACTGCTGTTTGGGTTTCAGTTCTTAAATGGTGGCATCTAGTTCCACGCAAATTTCATAATAATAATTTTAACACTGGACTACAAAATGGATATACAGTACATACCTTGGGTGGTATATTGGTTTCTATGCTATACTAAAAATCAAAGGTCACCAAAGTTTGGCATGGGGGGAGAATCAATAAGAAGAGCTATTAGGGTTCGGTAATAAATAGATTACTCTTTACGAGAATTTTAGAAATTTCTCACTGTTTAGTAGAAGATAATCTGAAATTTTGCTTATAATTGCAGTTAAAAACCCATTCCTTGCTTTTTCTTCAACCTATTTCTTGAATTATTTCATCTATAAGTTTAGCTAGAATTTCAAACATTTTAGAAATTGTCACCCCCCCCCCAAAAAAAAGAACAAAAAATATTACTGAAGATAATTTGGAAATACTTCTTAACAATTTTAAAGTAGGTAATTTCACTACTTTAGAAATAGATTGCCATAAAAAATATGCACAAATTCTTGGTTAGATCGTGTCTCTAACAAATTTTTGATGAACTAATTAGACATGCCTGATAATCTGAAGCAAAAGCATTGCTTAAAAATAAAACCTATTGAGCTACACTGCCCTCCAAAAGTAAAGGAACAGCATGTTTTTGAAGGCTCACCATTACAAAAATCTCAGTAATATTTAAATTCACAGTTCATATGCATGATAGTAATGAAGTTTAAGAAAATGTATGCAAAGCCAATAGTTACCACTTTTATCTTATAGAAAGGAATGCTTATACAGGAGTTGGAGGAAAGGCAAAAATTATAAGTCTTGTTCAGGAGTGTTGATTTTCAATTGTTATTAGCAGTTTCATTGGCAATATCCAGGAGAGCCTATCAATGTCCAAAAGAAGTCGTTTGCCCGATTTGTAGAGGTGGCAGGCAATTGGATGGATGGAAATGGGGATGTCACAAGCTGATGCTGCTAGACACCTCACTGTCTCTCACAGTGGGATCCACTGACTATGGAAACAGTTTGGATCCAAGGATTCTGTGTCTAGGAGACATGTTCCAGGCAGACCTAAAGTTACAACATTTTGGGAAACCATTATTATTTAGCTGTTTCCGCCTGAAGAAGGAGTAACATTACTGTGCCTCAGCTCATGGCAGATCATTTAGTGGCAATAGAAACAAGAATCTCAGCTACTACAGTGTGCAGATGCCTGCACAATACAGGTCTGTATACAAGACGACCAGACGTTTGTGTCCCCTTGATATGAGGACACAGAGGTGCTCGTTTATATTGGGCAAGAGAACACATCGCCTGGACCAGTAGACAATGGGTGTCTGTTCTCTTCACAGATGAGTTGGGTTGCTGAAGAATATCTTGATGGTCACGGTATGAAGTGGATGGAACGGCCAGCTCAATCCTCATACCTGAATCCGATAGAGCATCTTTGGGAGACAGGTTGCTGCTTTAAGTCCTCCTCCAGGGTCGTTAGATGAGCTTGAACAAGGATTACTTATGTCTGGTCTTTGCTTCCCATTTCACTGACTGGGAAGTTAACCCCTTCGCACCGGGTAGCGCAAACGTGCGCTTATTGCGGAGGCCGGCAGTGTCTTACGCGAGCATCTGTCCAGGGCCGGGGGCTTTTTTGCTATTAAGCCTAAATCCATGAAATTTCCGAAGTAACAACGCATTGCTTAGTAACACTCTATAGAGTATTTAAACGGTTTATGCTTTATAGATATTTTTATATATATTTTAATTACCTTAGTTTAAATGCATATTTTACACATTTTATTTTCATGACTCACCATTTTATGACTTTTACATTATACATCTGAAAACTAAATATATTACTTAAAATTTTCTTTTCGTATGAAAAATTTGAAAACAGGGATCTAAACACAGTCCTACATTACATTCCTTGCACTCGTAAAAACTCATTTGCCATTTTGGAGGAATTTTCCGGGAATGTGAACAAACGAAGCATCGTCGTCTGATTTTCTTATGTCTCTTCTGAACAAAGTTTTGGAAAATGTGATACTATCAGAATCTGTTTCAGAATCAATATCTGAAATATTTTGCATCATTTCTGCTATTTCATGCTCTGTTAAACATTTTCGACGCTTCGACATTGCAATGGTAAAAACAGAAAGAATTCACGTCTAACAAGATCTAATTATTTTCTAAATACTGAACTGCAAACCGAAATACCCAACGCTTTAGAGAAAATAAAACTTCTCTACCTACAATAAACAACTACCACGTGCGAATTTAAAGAGACGTCATAAAGCGCGCCATTCGGAAAGATTTATTTCCCCTTTTGTTTATATAATCAAAAACATGTGTATGTGAGTAACATGTACTTCTCTCATTTCGAGTAGAACATCTAATGTACACGTATCTGAAACCATATGGACATACAGTGCTATCTTGTGGCAGAAATAATAGTTTTTAAAACGTTCCAGGACA